TGTTTATTTTTATTGATGAATTGAGGCCAACTACATTAATAGTTCAACCAGTATTTGTTGGTTCATCTCTGCCATGCTGTCCTCCTGCTGTTGGCCCTCACTTTTCCCCTTCATTTAATTGCCTGTCCTGTTAGGCGATCCTCCTCTGCTGCTGTTCCTGGAACCATAGTCATCTTTATCTCTCTCTAGAATAAGCTTCAGCACAACTCTGGGGTTGGCTTGGTGGTCATGGATTTTTTGAAAGATAGGTTTGCAAAGTACATCAATCTGGGTTGGAAGTTGTTCTCTTTCAGGTTTTGAAGCACTTTGCTCCAAACTCTTCTTGACTTGATGGTTTGTGTTGATAAGTCTGCTGTGATTCTGATTGGTTTTCCTTTATAGGTGATCTGCCTCTTTTCTCTAAAAGTTTTTAATAATCTGTTCTTATGCTGAATTTCTGGGATATTGATTATTATATGTCTGGGTGTAGATTTATTTTGGTTATGGCTAGTTGGAGTTCTGCATCTCTCACTTGATTGTATGCCAAATCCTTTTTCCATGTTTAGGAAATTTTCTGCTATTACTTCTATAAATAGTCTTTCTATTTCATTTGTGTTGACCTCTTCTTTTTCTCTGATACCTATCACTCTTAAATTATTTTTCTGAATCTATTTCATGCATTGTAATTCCTTCCTATGTTGTTCATACAAGGTTTACATCATCTTCCTATGCTCATCTTTTTTATCTATGTCTTCTTTAGATATGCTCAGCAATTCTTTCATTATGTCTGTAATTTTTTCTTTTATCTGAAACATTATTTCTGATCTGACTACTTTTACAGCCTCACGAAGTTGTTTCTTTACTTCAGCTGCTATCTCTCAGAGATCTCATGTGTGTGACTTCCATTTTCTCCCATGACTATATCCCCAGACTTGTTCTGTGGGGGCTGGAGGTCTGAGATTGCCTTTTGCTCCTTTGTCTTGACATTCTTTTGGGTTCCTCCCAACAAGCTGGTTGTGGGTTCCCAGGCACATCTCATGTTGGCTGCCCCTCCATGGTCTAGGAGAATGGGACAGGCACCTGGGTTTCTCTGAACCCAGGTTCCCAAGGAAGTAGCAGGGGACAGGGCAGGCTTCTCTAGACCCATGCAGCTACACTGAGGCTTCCCTGATTGGCCAGGGTTACATGGCGGCAGGGAAGCTTCTTCACTCAGCTGCGTGTCTACACTGGGACTCCCCTCATGGCAGCAGGCACAAAGGGGTGTGTTTGTCTGATTCTCCTGGTGGGTGCTGGTTGCCTGAAGGAAGTAAAGGTCTTTAATGGGTGCATGAGGCATATCTGGCTATTTTTCCCTGCCCTTGCTGACTTGCCCACAAGAAGCAAGCCTTCCAATGGTGGCAGGAGGTGCATAGGGCTGTTTCTCTGGGAGATCTGATTTTTTGAGTTCTTTATATGTTCTCAATAGTAAGCCCTTGTCTGAAGAACAACTGGAAAACATTCTTTTCCCACATTGTGGGTTGTCTCTTCATTCTGTTGGTGGCTTCTCTTGCTGTGCAATAGCTTTTTAATAAGATGAAACTCAAGTTGCTGATTCTTTGTGACAGTTCCTGCCATCAGGGTTCTATTAATAAAGTCTTTGCCTACACCGTCTTCAAGAGTTTTAGCTATTCTATCTTCCAGCAGATATGATGTTTCTATTATTTATTTATTTATTTATTTATTTATTTATTTATTTATTTATTTTTGGTACCAGGGATTGAATTCACGACCTCGCGCTTACCAGGCAGACACTTATGCCGCTGAGCTAAACCCCCAGCCCCTGATGTTTCTATTTTAATATTGAGATATTTGATCCATTTTGAATTTAGTTTAACACATAGTGAAAGACATAGGTCCAATTTTAATCTTTGGCATGTGCAGAGCCAGTTTTTCCAGCACCATTTATTAAAGAGACTATCTTTCTTTCAGTGCATGTGTTTGGTACTTGTCAAGGATAAGTTGGCTGAGTATGCCTGGAGTTGTTTATTCATTTTCTAATCTGTTCCACTGATCTTTGGATCTATTTTTTCCCAGTACCATACTGTTTTTAAAATAGTAGCTTTATAGTATAATTTCAAGTCAGGAATTATGATGTCCCTTGTCTTGTCTTTGTCACCTAGAATTGCCTTTGCTATTCTAGATCTCTTCTGGCTCAAGATGAATTTTAGGATTATTTTCTCTAATTCTATGAGATATGCTATTGCAATTTTGATCAAAATTGCATTAAATCTGTATAACAGTTTTGGAACTATGGCCATTTTCACACTATTGGTTTTTTCTACCCAAGAGTAAAGGATGTCTTTCCATTTTCTAATATCCTCTTCAACCTCCTTTTTTAGAGCACTGTAGTTTTCAATGTAGAGGTCTTTTATATCCTTTGTTAGATTGATTCCTAGGTATTTCACTGTTTTGGATGCCACTGTGAATGGTGTTATTTTCCTGATTTCTCTCTCAATGAGTTTGTTGTTTGTGTACAAGAAAGTTGTTGGTTTTTGAGTGTTGACTTTGTATCCAGCTGTGCCACTGAATTTGCTTATTAAAGCTAGCAGATTTTCAGTGGATTTTTTGGAATCTTCTATGTAGAAGAGTATCATGTCATCTGCAAATAATGACAATTAAACTTTTTCCTTTCCTGTTTTTACTCTTTTTATTTATTTCTCTTTTCTAATTTCTTGGCTAATGTTTCCAGGACTGTGTTGAATAAGAGTGGAGACAATGGACATCCTTGTCTTGTTCCTGATTTTAAAGACAAAGCTTTCAGTTTTTGTCTATTTAGTATAATGTTGGATGTTGGCTTGTCCCACATAACTTTTATCAGATTACAATACAGACCATCTGTCCAAATTTTCTATAGTTTCTATCAAGAATAGGTGCTGGACTTTGTCAAAAGTTTTTTTTCTTCATCTATTGAGATACTCATATGATTTTTGTTTTTGTTTCTGTTAATATAGTGTATTACACTCATTGATTTACATATGTTGAACCATCCCTGCATCCTTGTAATGAATCCCACTTGGTCATGATGTATATAATCTTCTTGATGATTTGCCACATTGTTTGCCAGAATCTTATAAAGAATATTTGCATCTATGTTCACTAGGGAGATTGGCCTGTAATTCTATTTCTTAGTTGGATACTTCTTTAGCTTTGGTATCAGGGTAATGCTTACTTCCAGGAATGCATTTGAGAGTACTGCTTCCCTTTCAGTTTCATTGAAAAGTTTGAGAAGTAGTGGTGATAGGTCTTCTCTAAATTTCTTGTAGAATTCAGCAATAAATCTCTCAGGGCTGGGGCACAATTGCACATTGTTTCTTTTAAAGCCTCCAAAACCTTGTGAAGTAGAAATTCATTAACACTGGGTAGATGTTTATCAATTTTGGAAGGAGAAATTCACAAATATAATATCCTTCTAATTAATTCTCCATGTTACATGACTTAAAAGGAGCTGAACCCATCTTCCATTCAAATGTGGAAAGTGCCAGCTGCTCAGCTACCTAGACTCCCTTGCAGTTAAGGTATCAGCATGTAACTTGAACTGTCTTGGGCAGCCACACAATGTCTCCAGACATAGGCTCTATTTGCTGGGTGGCAGGGGAAGGTAGTGACCATAGCAGTGGGAACACTGAACTTAAAAAGCAACCCATGAGAATCAAACAATGAAACCTACAAATCAATAAAGACAACCTACCAGAAAAATAGGCAATGGAAATGAGTAAGCAATTCACAGAAAAGAGAAAAAAATGGTTAATAAACTCAGAGAAAAGACAATTGCACTGGTATATACAAAAGGGGAGTAATGATGCCTTGGTAACCTCCTCATCCCTGACAATAGTCAACACCCACACTTTAAAGGAGAAGAGGTGTATTTGGACTCACAGTTACAATTCATGGCCAGGCAGCTCCCAGGAAGAAACAGCATAGCAAAGAGGCACAGTGATGGGGAAAATGCTTACAGGAAGTGGAGAGAGAAGGAAGGAGCTGGGGAGATGATATACCCTTACAGGTCATGCCTCCAGTGACCCACCTCTACTGACTAGAACCCACATCCTAACAGCAAGTCAGTTACATCAATCCTATGATTCATTCGTTCACTTTCCAAAACACCACCTATAAGCCATGAGGTCTTTGAGGGACATTCTTGATATAAAGTATAACATCCTGCCCCTAGCTGCCAAAAGGCTCCTATGAATCTTTTTATGCAAAGTTCTCCAAGTCTTAACACTTCCAGCACTGCTGAAAAGACCAAGTCTAAGTGTCTTCTGAGATTCAAAGCAAACTCTTAGCTATCAGCCCCTATGTCAAATGCTACCAACATACAATGACACAAAATAAACACTCCCATTCCAAAAGGGGTAAATAGAGGGATATAAAGGAATAGAGCCAAAGCAAGACCAAGCCCAGAAGAGCAAACATCAAATCCTGTAGCTCCATATTCAGCAGTCAGGTAAGATGCTGCATTGAGATGTGAGCTTCATGAAGCTTGGGCAGACCCCCTACAACATTTCTGTTGTAGTTCTCATGGCCTTTCTCTTTCTCTTGTTTTGTGCATGTGGCTTTCCTCAGATGTCCTATTTCTTGCTTCCCCAGCCTTCTGGAGACTCCACTGCAATTTTGGCTTTACTTTCACTACTTCCCATACTTCCTAGTCAGCAGCACACTACCTGGTCTCCAAGGCCTTCTTCTAAAATCTAGGTGGAAGCACAACTCTTGAATTCTACATTCTTGTAAAAACTAGCAACACATGAATGATGCTAAGATCCGTCACCAACTTGAATGGTAGCCCAGGCCCTATTGGGTCATGACTACAGAGGACTCTGTTTTGCTTTGTTTTACTTTGTTTTGTTTTGTTCTAACAGAACTACCTGCCCTGGGGCTGTCTTCTCAAAGAAAACTCTTTTACTTTTGTACCCTTTAGCCTGCCAGAATTGGGATCTTGCTGATTCCTCAAATGCCCTTGAGGAGTCTTTTTTTTTTTTTTCTTAAATCAGATGAATATATGCCAACATTGTCACAAGATTTGAGGGAGGCATATCTCACACAAATTTCATGAACATCCAGTCAGCATGATCATGAACCAGAGGATCAATGCATCTTTTCTATTGTCCTGGTATAAAATACTTGGTTTCTTTTTAATGCTAATGTTTTCAACAACCAGTCTCTCCTTGCCCAAAATTTTATAGGGTCCAACTTTATAGCCCATAGACTACAACTTTACAAGAGCTTCCCTTCTGGTTACCAGCAAATCCTTTCAAATTATTCAGCTCTGCTTTTTTGCTGTTTTTGTTGTGGAAGATACGTCTAAAAGCCACCAGCAGTACTCATGCCACAGCCTCAATTTTGGGCTGCCTTGAAATTTCTTTCACCAGACTAATTAGTCTGTCACCCCTAATCTCAGTCTCCCTCAAAGACTCGGGACATGTCTCTGTTAGGTAAGTTTTCTGTCAGACCATAATACACATGGTCTTGAGTCAATGGAATCCTTGTTCCCAACTGAAATGTTCTGAGCCTAGTTTTCAGTATTCACATTTTTATGAGCATTCTGGTCTTCTGAGTCAAACTTGACATACCATATTCTAGGGTTCCTTTGGCCACATCTTCAAACCTTTCTAAACTCCCCCCACATTCCAGTTCCAAAGGTTTTTGAGCTTCTTGGTCAGGTATGGTCACAGGAACGACCCTACTTCCCTGATAACAAAATCTGTCTTAGATCTACAACCAGCTTGAGCTAAGATGAGATGCTTGGTTCACATCAGGTTAATAACAGTGTTAAACTCTATATGGTATGAAATAGCACCTCCTTCTAGTATTATAGAAAAGATATTTGATATGTAATAAAACAAAAAATGCATATAGCCTGCATTCAACAGGTTTTAGGTGTCCTGAAATCCAGAGTTCAAACTCTCTTAGGTAAGATGAAGATATTGTTCCTCTGAGGCCTCAGGGACCAAGTGGGAAAGGAGGTATATGGAGTAGTTTCAGCCCCCTGCCAGCTACCAACACAAGCACAAGAACTTCACATCCAACCCTGTTCATTTAGTGTGATGCACACGTGTCATATTCTATTTACATGGCATGATATGCCAAACAAGAAATTAGCACTGTATGTGCATAAAGAGAGCTGTGCAAAGATGCTCATTACAGCATTTTTATAATAGGGAAATATTGGAAAGAATTTTCTTGTCTGTAATGAATAGTTATGAGCTGCCTCAGTTTCCCTTCAGGACAGAGGTACTCATTCCCCCACCTCCCAACAGTGCTGGCTGCTAATGGCTCACAGCTAAGCCTTCACTAAAACATAGCTGCCTTTCCTAATGTGACACATTCTCCCCAGGAGAGCCCATTTCCAATGATACAGGTCAGTGCAGTAGGCCAAAGGACTCAGAACGGTTCTCTCCAGCTGCAAAATGCCCCATAGATCAGCTGAGGCCCTTATCAAGCCTCCTACTGGACAGTCAGTAATGAAGATCCATCACTGGTGGTAGGTAGACTAAAAAAAGCACCTGGCATGTGGAAATGGTGCAATAGTTAAAGTTTTCACCAGGGCAAATGGAGTGGGATGAGAGTGGAGGAGAACACAACTGGTAGAATCACTCAGGCATGTGAGTGGTACTCTGGATAGGTGCTGGTGAACACTGTCAGTGCAAGGGAGAAAGGCAACGTAAGGCCAAAGGTAGTGAATCAACAATTGAAGAGGAAATACAGACTCATCTCATAGCAAGAGGACACAAAAAGCTCAGAGTCAAGGCCAGCTTAATTATTAAACTAGCAACATTCCATGAAAGTTGAAATCTCAACACCAACAAATCTGCTTATTCCAGATTTCTCTGGTTGAGGTAAAAGGTGACCCTGATATTTGGGATAGAATCAGTGTACCCAAGAATTTTGAAATCTTGAACCTCCTGAATATTTCGGCCCTAAAACAATGACCTCTTTTGTTTGTTTTAAATTAATTTTATTGGTAAATTTTAGATATATGTAATGATAGAATTTATCATAGGAATTTGAACCTGTACATGGTATATCTTGATTCTTTTTTTCCCATTCCCCCCCTCCGGTAAACCCCTCTTCCCTTCCTTACTTATAAAGGCTTTATTTCCATTTTTCCTTATATTCTATTTTTTCTTTCCCTTTCTTTCTTTTCCTTCTCACTTTCCCCAGTTTCCCTTCCCAGTTGAACATTTTTTTATTTCATAATATCTATTGTACATTTTGGTCCTCATTTACCCTTTTGGTTTCTCATACCAAAGAAACAATATAATATTTAAACATGTTTTCTCAGTTTATTTCATTTAAAAGTATGATAATCACCTCATTTAGAGTCTCTGATTTCCTCAAAAATGGGTAGAGGCCTCTACCATGTAAGGTCACACATGTCCCTTCAGGATTTATCTTAATTGTCCCCCTCACCACCAGAGCATACCTAGAGTCAAATCACCAGCTAACTAGGATGCTGAACCTACAATACAAGGGGATGACTTAGCCAGAGGAAGATATGTGGAATTGAATCCTGAGGATTCTGAGTTAAAGAAACAGGAGAGAATAGTCTAAGAGGTCAGATAATGAACAATGCATTGCTATGGGAGCACCTCCCATGACCAAATTTAACACCCTAGCAAAGATACTTAGAGATAGTACTAACGTAGGCTAGAATGGATCCTGTGACCTTGGACAGTTGTGAGGATACAGTAAGGACCTGTGCAGCATGCTAGGCATAATGCCAGCTACATCTCTGACTTTCTTTGTTGTCAGTATCCAAATCACCAGGGAGAACTCTCCAAAGCCTCCTACCAAGTCTCCTGTCCAAGAAAAAGTCAGTTTTTAGGGACTCAGAGAGAAAAGGACCCCTTCCTTCCAAGGCAACCCCTGTTTCCTCATTCATCAACGAGGAAGGGATAAAAAAAGATCTTTAATTGGTATCACTAAGAATTTCCGAATTAAAAAATAGAACTGCTAAATTAAAGGCAGATTTTTCTGCAGGAGGGGCGTCTGCCCTGGAGTCAGGGCCTAGCTTTTGGACCATTTTCCAGGATTGTAGGGTAGAGGAGAATGAGCACTGTGACCAGAATCACATACTTGTCTTTGGGTTGGCTATCTGATGGGCACATTATGAAGGGGTGGTGGTGGCAGCATTGTGTGACAGTATCTCCAGATGCAATTTGACATACTAGTTCATTACAAGACCTCTGGAAACAAGATAGACTTTTGGAGAGGCCACATCAACAAGCAGGCAGACAGAGCCATGGGGGTATTGTATAGAGTGTAGAACATCAATACAATAAGGCAGGATTCTCCCTGGGGCAGGTACTGGCCAGAGACCCACCGAGAGGACTCACACTGAACAGCAAGACTTCAACTGCAACACAGCCTCCTGAGCGGAAGAGTCTTTGGGTTGGCTATCTAATGGGCTACCTGATGCCTAAGGACAAATGTGAGAACCTAATCACTTTGTACTGTACTGGGTCTCAGCTCTTAAAAGTTCCATCACCTCTTACTCCCATACTGGGAACCGAGACTCTGTTAAATGAATTCTTGGGGAACAAACCATAGCAATTTGTTTCCATGGAAACACTGTGAGGGTGGGCACATGCCTCAGTGTGCCTAGACACTCAGTAGAGCTATATAGTCTGGCCTCTTAGAGGTTTCAGTCAAGTGATGTTACTATAGAACTCAGTCCCAACTCATTTCTAACTCAGAGCACCCTACCCTGGGCCCAGTGGGAGTCTGATCTAAGCGGAAGCAAGGCTCCCAGGGACTAAACCCAGGCAAATTCCAAACTAAACTCTAGTTTTACAGAGCAGAAATAGTGGGTCAAAATTCCACCTGGGGCCCTAATGAAATCATTGATTCAGGCAAGGATTATCAGGTTGATGAGTTAAGACCATGTTTGAATCCATTACAGTAGCTGTAATAAAATATCTCAGAATGGATAATTTATAAGTGGCAGGGCTTACGGCTCACAGTTCCAGAACCTGGGAAGTCCAAGATCAAGGCATCAGCACATTCAGAGTCTGGCGCAGGCCTATTCCTCATAAGTGGCATCTTCTTGATGCTTCCTCACATGGCACAAGGGCAAAAAGGAGCTAAGAAGCTCCTGTAGGCCTCTTTATAAAGGCATTAATCCTATTTGTCAAGGAAGAGCCCTCATGATCTAACCACTGCCCCATCTCTTGACATTATTGCACTGGGGATTAGCATTAACATGTGAATTTTGGGAAAATACAAACATTTGCACTAAAGCAGACAAATGGTCAGTGCATAACTGGACATTTTAATAGTGCTAAAGTAAAGCCCACAGACTTTTTCCTGGCTTCTCATAAGAAGAAATAGGAGGGTCATCCCATTCCAACTGTATCAGTTATGGTTCACTAAAGGAACAGAATCAATATAAAATATATATATAATTATACATGAGATTTATTAGATAGGCTTACAGAATCAGAAGCAGAAAAGTTCCAATCTCTGAACCAGAATCAGAGATAGAATGGCCACTAGAGAGTTGAAGTATCCAGTAGCAATCAAAGGTTGAAGATCTAGAAGGTCATTTAATCACTGATGCAAGTCTGTGTCAGAAGGCTGAAGAGTATGATTTGGAATGTTGAAGAGTCTCTGCTAGAGATCAACTTCCAAAGGCAAAGATGAAGAAGAGAGCTCCTCCAGAAAGAGAGAGAGATAAAGACAGACACAGAAAGAGAGAGACAGAGAGAGAGAGATTCCTTTTCTTTCCCTTTGTATTCCATTCTGCCTACAAGCCCATTGGTTCATGCAACCAGCATCTCCCATGGGTCTTCTCCCTTTAGTTTAGTTTGTGACCCACATGCCAATTACCCACTAATACACCCAGAACATTACTAATTTAGTAGGTGATTCTTACCCAAATCAAGTAGACACAGCACAATTAACCAGCATACTTGTCCTCATTCAGGAGTTAGTCTTGCACAAGCAACACTGGAGCAACTGGGGATCACACATCTCTCCAAGTGAAGGTACTGGAAGCTATCAGTATCCCTTGTGATTTTTTTCTGGCCAAAAAATGTTTACCTGCAATCCATCGACCTTCAGATTTCATTTACAGTTCACAAAATG